ATAATATTTGAAGATAATGTGTCAAACTTGTGTTTTGTAGCTCTTCACTGGAATTCTTAACAGGAAACCCAAAGTGATATAAGTGATGGAGATCATCATTAGGTTGAAAAATTAAAATAAACCTACCACAGAGAGAGCAACAACTTCAGAAGTGGCCAAATCAACTATCTGGTTCAGTCTCGACAAGAATGAATTCACTGACCAGCTCAGCAATGCCAAAAGATCTGAAAGACGACAGAAGACAACTGAAGTGGATGATCACAGATTATTTCCTTTGTTAAGAAAAACAACTTTACATCAACTTTGTTGATCTGCCTGCATGCTTTCCACAGTCTAAAACATTACAAAGAGACAAGCCTCCTACTATGGGAAGTAAAACCTTAGTGCAATACAAAGCGTGTTTAGAGAGAGCAGACTTTAGACTCATGTGTGTCTGCTGACCACAACTGCTTCCTTATTAAACCTGAGGACCTTCCACTCCCACACACTTCCCCAACAGGCCAGAAACCATCTGCAGGCTAAATTTAGGCCTGCATATTAAGGGAGCTCCTCTTAAGGGAGCTGTGTGAGGTTAGAAGGTGTGTGGAGCTTTCCAGGATCTTTCTAAGTTTAGATTCTTCCGTTAAAGTCACGGTAATGAACAAGAACAGTGTATCATGAGTGTAACTTACATGCTTTAAGATCAAAACATCGATGGAAATTATATTGCTGTAATGCACATTAGGCTATGGGATGTAGCTTACAGTAAGTTTCTTATGTAATAGAAAGTATATCTCATATATTACACGAGCATCTTATCTGGTTTTGAAAATTTAAAGCTGAAAAGAAAAAAGAAGTTATAACCAATTTAACATGAGTGATGGCGATAATTAGTGATGATAAGGGGAAAAGCTCATTTTCGCGAGGTGTAATAAATGATAGATTTCTTGCTGTCTGGGGCAAAGAAGTGTGTCAGACATTTTAGATAATAGATTTTTTTCTATCGACTTTGATATCTGATTCCTTTTATAAGGGCACGAGGAGAGGAATATGTGTATATATATATA